CTCCAGGAGGTTTCCAGCTGAGCACCACATAGTTTTTAGTAGCTTCAATAACTTGAAGGTTTGAAGGTGGCCCAGGAACAACACCCTCTGTAGAACAGGATAGAAGAGAGAGAAATATATGTTTGAGTCAAGCAGCTAAGCTAGGAAAGTCCTCAGCCCTTATCCAGGTGGTCTAGTAAATACATCAATAGATTTGTTTGTGTTGCATCAGACAACCTCAAAGTTGAGTGATTTTAAAAGTCTTTAAAAATGTGCCTACTTACTTGAATTTCTGAATTATTGCTGGGTTGAAAATATAAAAAAGTATCTCATTAGAAAACTATGAAACACTCTTTAGGAGTATATTTCTCTCAAAATATAATTGAATTGAAAATCACCAGAATGCTGTTTCTCTTCAAAATTGCATTATCTGTGTGCATAATTGTTTATTTGGACAACATACACAGGGATAGATATGTTAAGGTACAGTGATTCTAGCTGGAAAGGACTTTGGTCTGATCCAAAGTCCATTGAATTTAATGAAGACTGGCTTCAATAAGCTTCTATAGGCTTCTGTAAGGTTCAGTTTCAATAAGCATCAGATTCCATTGGCTTTGATAAACTTCAGATCAGATTGTTTAAAGAGAAAGTACATGTTTACCTGTTGGTTCTTCCTCAGTAACAATAATCTGTCCAGTCCAGGGGGCAGAAGGATGACCTGAAACAGGATGCAGAATTAACTCAGGAGTCAGAGAAATGAGAAACTGTTTTTAAACAGAAAAGAGGGCTTTTATTTGTTGCTCATACCAAGCCTTTACATGAATGATTTCCTGTAAATTCCATCTAGAGGTATGTCTATACTGTAGTTGCTACTGCTACTTGTTAGTCAAGCTTAGCTTAATCAACTAGCTTAAGTACTGCTAGCAGCATAGCAAGGCTGCTACAACATCTATCTAAGAAGCTGAACAGTACTTAAATGGTTAGGCTCCACTAAGCTCCATACTACTGTAGCTACTACACTGCTAGTTGTACTTGAGGGTGGACATACTCCTGAATGATATTGAGTGTTCTGAGAAAGGCTTGTAAAGAATAATTAAGATATTTACTCACATCACTTTAAAAAATCCACACCCAGGGGATAAAGAAATGGGCAGATGTGATATTGCACTGGAGCCTACTAATAGTTTTGTCTCTAACTTGGCACCTCTTTCTCTATACTGAAGAAATGTTTTGGTGCTAGCAAGTTTTCAATAAGGGAAACTGATAAAAGAATGCCAGAATGAAGGCTCATTTCCAGGGTCCTGCAGATGGACTGGCTAAAGGGATTGTATTCAAAATGACAGAAAGTCTGCAGTGGTTATTGTACTATGTCAGGACTGAAGCAGAAAAATTGAGAAGGTTTGATTATCAAATGAGATGGCTGGGAAAGGACTGTGCTTTGATGAATTAAGTTAGCAGGTACTATAACGTTTTTCTTTTGTGAATTTTTAGACAGGTCAGTAACTACTCTTCTCTTCATTTAACAGATGAGAAAAATGAGATACAAAGAGATCATATGACCCTAAAGAAAATGTCTGAAGGAGGCTGGCGGTAACATTTTCAGAAGCAAAAAGGAGTTACAAGCTTATTGTCCTGGTTCAAAAGATATGTCGATACTTAGGTGCCTAAGTCTCATGAGGCACATCTACACATGCAATTAATGCAAAGTCATAAACTCTGGATCCTATTGCTCTGAAGTATATTGCTCCCGGATACACTATTTGAATGTGTGCCTGACACTGCAGCATGTTGAGCCAGGTCAACACAGCCCTGGGTGGCAGGGGGCCCTGGGAGTCAAGCCAGCCTGGGACTGCTCCTCTGAGCTCATTGCATTGTGGAGGGGCTGGCTGGGCCACAAGGGTGCTTCAGTGTGGGGCTAGTCAGCAGGCAGGCCCCACACTGAAATACCCTTGTGCCCCAGCCAGCTGCAGAGTAAAAAACTGTGGAGTTTATTAGTTTACTTCAGCTTAATAGGGGCACATGTGTAGACACATCATGTTTACTGCTGAGCTAATTAGTCGACTCACAGTACACGCCTTGTGTAGATGCGCCCACCGGGAGTCAACTTAAGTTGCTACTGAAAATGGGTTTTAACCTCCTAAGTCATGTAGGAGTCATGAAGGCACTTTTCAAACTTTTGCTCCCAAGGGAATTTGGGTCATATTTTTATCCCATTTATACTGGTTAAAATCAGAATTAACTCCATTTTCTTCAATGAATCCAAACTAAGCTTACAATATGACCAAAATTGAATGTCCACTGAGCTAAACTATTCCTTGCTGAAGTATCTTTGAAGTCACTGAGGTCATATTACAGAAGAATTTGGCCAGCATATTTTTCCATTTGAACTGTATTTTCCATACTATACAATTTAACAGTTCACTCATTAAAGGAATTGGCAAGTTTCTAGAAGCTGCTGTTTTTCTTTTTCTCTGCTTGGTTGCTCTCATAATACCAAGTTGCAACACAAGGTTCACAGTTGCTAACAGAAACTACCCCACTGCCTTGCCATTAGTCACAACTGATATGATTTTAGGTAGCTTTTTTGGAATGTCTTATATAACCAGCTTGAAAAATGCCAACTTAGGCACCTGATCCTGTCCCTCTACAGAGTGTTCAATCAGCTGGGCCTTCTTATGCCACTCTCAAGCACTTTAGAATGAAGTTGGCTGCAATGCCAGCTATTCCAAAGAAAAAAAAGATAAGAATCAAACTGCTGATGTAGGAGTTTTCTATCCAGAGAACATACTTCCCTGCTCCTTTTCTTGTTTTTCTGCACTCCAGTTACCTAGAGGCAAGCTTTGGATAGAGGGATTTCTTTTTTTTTAGAATAAATTTTACAAGAAAGAGTAGACTAACTTGTTGGCAAATCCAAATTGCCAAAGGAAGAAATGTTTTTGCATTGCTCCCTCTTGTGGAAACTTTGAAGGCTTACAAATCATGATTCCATGACTGATAATTTTTTTAGCCCCTTAGGGAATATATCAAAACAACTCACTTCTAAGCCTGGCTCTGTCAGCAGGATCCAGAGCTGCCACTGGATCAGAAACTCGGGATGGTATGCTTATTCCAGCATTATTCACAGCTCGGACTCGGAATATGTACGAGCGACCTTCTATCAAACCCGTGACGGGGAAACGAGCAAACTTCACTGGAGTGTCATTGCATTGGGTCCAGTTGGTGGTACCAACCTCACATCTGAAAAAACAAATAAATGTGATACTGAAGATGGAGAGAGGAAGAAAACTCTGAACACAACCTCCTACTACTCTAAACAGTTGTTCATATACATTGGCTTGCTTGTACCAGTTTGCTCAGCACTCACGTATTGCCAACATAAAAACATCTGCACAAAGATGTCAAAGCTCAAGTACTTTGTGTGAATGCTGGCAATAAATTCCCTGCAGCTACACTGCCTCTTTCATGAAGTACAGAAGGAAAGGGATTTAAGGCTATTCCTTTTAGAGACCTCACTTCAATGCTTATACCCTTTGAATTGTGGCTCAAGATGATCAGTGAGCATTTCGGCTTCAGCACAAGCTAAGGAAAATCAAACCCCAGTCACCCTTAGTGCTTACAGAGGGTGCAAACTTTTGTGCCCAGTACTGAGAATTTTCTCCTCTGCTGTACATCCAACAAATATAATGAGTTTTAGTGGGCAAAAAACATAGTTTAAGAGCCAAATTCTATTTCACAGGTGGGATAAGCATCAGTCTCCCAATTTTCAACCAGCGGGCAGTCCTGTGGGCCAGATGGCCTGGCCCTAAGGACATAACTTTAACACCTCTGATTTTGTCCATAGAAAAGCCGTCATTTATGATGTTTTTGCTTGTAACAGGGCACATCTACATAAGATTCCTTAATGAGCAGTGGACTGTTCTACTGTGCATTAGTGCGTTACAGCAAAAACCATGCTAATGTGCTAATCATAGGCGGAGGGAGAAGAAATTATTTGGGAGGGCAGAGCATATGTTCACTCCACCCACCCCTTGCCCCTCTGCCCAGCAGGTAAGTCTGTGGGGGAAGGGGTGGGGGAAAGGCCATGGGGGGTGCAGATTGAGACCTCCATGGTGAGGGAGGGAGTGGGGCATAGGCAGGGGCAGGGGTGAGTGGGGCCCTGGTTGGGTTGGGTGGTGGGACAATTGGATCCCAGGCAGCTCATCCAGAGACATGGGGGAGCTCCCATTTCTGTGTGCATCCTGATCTGTGGGGCAGAGGCAGTTGCTTCTGTGCTTGGCACCCTACTGAAGCTGCTGCTTCCCTGCAGACCCACACAATTCCATGTGCACCCCACTATGGGGTGCACAGGGGACATGGTGCAGCTCAGCAGCAGCAGGCACATGGCATCGCACCACTCTGGGGGCAGCTGCAGAGGGGCACAAAGCACGGAGGCAGCAGCCTCCATCCCACACACAGATAGGGGGGCATGCCCCTGGGCCTCCACCGGGGTGTGCACAGCAGCGAGAGCCCCCCTTGCCCCTGGATAAGCCACCCAGGCTCCGACTGTCCCACCACCTGGCCTGGCTGGAGCCCCACTCACCCCGTCCCTGCCTGTGCCCTGCTCCCTCCCTCACCTTGGGGGCCTCAATCTGCATCCCCACCAGTCCTTTCCCAGAATAAATTGATACTTGCCTGCTGTGCTGGGCAGTCAGTGATCCACATGCCGGACTGCAATCCTGGCTGTGTTCATGCCCCTTCCCCTGGCTGCAGCCACCCAGAATCTGTGGCTGGGCTGCCTTGAGGCCCTACCTGCTGCCCCATGCTTGGGGGGGCTGAGCCCTGTTTGCCTTGGCCTTCTGCTGCCTATGGTGCTAATGCACAGTATGAAGTGTTCTGCCTATTACGTGCTGGAAAAAAAGTTCACCTTTCTACTGCACATTAGCACAGCTACTGTGCCTTTATCTAGTACCCCATATTAGTGATACTAAACATAATGCACAGTAGCAAAGGCACATGAATGAAGTTGTAGATGCACCTGCAGAGTAGCACCCAAAGGATTCAGTTAGGGAGACCTGGTAGATCAGGCACTAGGCTGGGACTCGGGACATGTGGGTTTAACTCCCACAACCTTTCTTGAGCAAGTCACTCAGGGCATTTAGGCAGGTACAAAGAAACTTTCAATAATCCCCTAGGCACACAGCTGAATCTTTCTGTGTCTCATACCTTTGAAACTTAGGCCCTTATGGCATTTACATATGTGCTCCATAATTAGAGTGGCTCTGAGAGCTGCTCTAATTAAAGTATCCATAGCAGTACATCTATCATTGTCCTTGCACTGAAAAATGGCAGTAGGGCTGCTTTAACTAAAGTTCACCTAACAAGCTTTAGTTAAAGCAGCCCTGCCGCCATTTTTCAGTGTGGGGGTGCTGCTATGCATGATGCTGGAGTCTGCTGGAGCACAGGAATTACCACACTCCAGCAGATTTGATTTATCAAGTCTGCTCAGAGGCACTGTAATTATAGTGAGTTGGAGCAGCCTCACTGCACGTGTATAGGAGCCAGTGAGTGAGGGCCTTTTTTTTTTTTTAGAGGGCCAAGACACTGGGACCAAGTGGGGCAGCCATTGATGGGACTGGGAGGGTGGGCAGGGGATGGGCCCTGTTTGATTTGAAGATTCGGTGGCAGCTGAATCTCTGAATCAGATATGGCTGAATCAATTTGGGACAGTAATTTAAATCACCGAATCAAATCACTGTCCCCCAAATTGGCTGAATCTGAAGAGAATACTAGCTACTTTGCACAGGCCTAGTAAGTAATGGTATACCATCCCTTGTATTTGATCACTACATTTTATTCCTCTATGTCCTCTGTTTTTGAACAACAACAATCAGTAATAGAGATACAGATACAGCATAACATAAATACTGACTTATCAATGAAATATCCAAGGATGTGGCTTCCTCCATCAACAGCTGGCTGTTTCCAGGAGATGATGACATAATCTTTGTTAGCATCTAAGCATTGAACATCCAGGGGTGAACCAGGAGCTCCTGCAATTTCAGCATCTGTATCTATGAAAATGGAGATATAATGTTTTGAATATGCATGACAGTTATTTCAAGATTACTCTCTAAAGTCCAAATGCTGTTCCTATTTGGTAAGAAGTTTTATCATTAACTTCAGTGGGACCATGATTGGGTCCAACATCCCCCTAAAAATTCTACATTTCTTTCCCTTTTGCAACAACTTAATAACATTCAATATGCTGAGGCATATTACAATAATTGATACAGACACTTTGAAACAAACCAGAATCATGCATCTTGATTAGGATGCAGCCATGCATACTTAAACTAAAATCTCTTGGCTGATTAAATGACATTCTGATGACCTATTTTAAGTAAAATGTAAAACTCGATTCTTCAAGCAGAGGTGTTCTGGCAATGTTATCTAGTCCTTGGATATACAGTGTTGTAATTTTCAAGGGCATGCTTTCCATTTTTGTGATCTCTCTCACACAGACAGATAGATAGGTAGATTGTATTAAATTACAAGTTGATGAAATATTGCTAGAACACTGACCATCACTACAGTCCAGTCAAGATTAATCTCCCCCACAAAAGGTGGCCAGGTTTTTACCAGGCACTTCCTGAAATATTCATCTTTATGAAATTATAATTTTCTATAATATCAAACTAAGGAATAGAACAAAACCTTTTTTAAAGGAAACACTAGTCTTTCTCTTCTAAGGCAGATGAACTAGAATTTATAATACAAGCAGTGACTATTTTCATAAATCAAATCCCAAGCCATTTTTTTAATTAAAAACATTCTGAGTATATTTTAATTGAAAAGAGTGAATCAAATGAACATGATATTTTCACACACTTGTGCACTACTTGATCTTAGTTTGGTTTGGGAGAAAAACAGTTGTTGTAGTTTGAAACTGTCAGAATCCTATTTTCATGATATTTCCAGCAGTTTCTTCAGTCTGAAGAAGGGGTTTAATTCTAGTCTTGAAGGTTAGGGACAGAAGTTACACACAAACTGGTTTAAGTGATCAGAAACTGGTTTAAACCTGTAACAGAACAGAAGTTCAGTGCATATAAGCCAGTTTCAAAATGGCTGAAACTAGTTTAAGATAAACCTGGTTGAATGTAGTATCAGACTTAACTGATTTAGGTCAAACCAGTTTATGAAACTTCTGTCCCAGACCCCTTCCTAGTTCAAGTTAAATCACAGTTCCCCAGCATCCCAGAATGCTTTGCAGCCCTGGTCTGGGTTGTGCTGTCTGCTCCAGAGAGCAGGGTTGGCCCTGCCCCTCTGCTCCTTAGCTGGAGCAGTGAGAGCTGGCTGACAAAGGGGTGGAGGTGGGAAACCCAGCTACGGACTGCAGCCAGGTTTGCTTGTGGGGGGAGAGAGAGGTAGCCCCTGCCAGACTTTTCCACGCTGGAGTGGAGGAGGCAGAAGGTGTGGGCAGGCAGGCTCAGGCACAGGGGAGGGAGGGGGATTTAAACCCCCTCTCTCACCAGCATGAGACCCCAGCTGAGGTCTGTTTGGCAGGGGGCTGGCAAAAGATGAGTAGATTCCACCCCCTCCCACCTCTGGCAGAGACTGAGGCAAGCAGTTGATAAGGGGAAGAGGAGGGGTTATATTTCCCCTTGGCTCCCATGGGGGAGGTGGAAGAGGCTGGGGATCTGGGGCTGGAGGGACTGGCCCTCTGCCACCTGTGAGCACAAGGCCAAGACCTGTAGGACCAGACTGAGAGGTGGGAGGTGTTGGCAAAGATCTTGCATGATCTTCACATATATATGCTAGAGGCAGAGCTAAGGGAACAGGAGATGGTCCCGGACTGGGTGGGGTGGTGTCACCAAAGAAAGCAGAGAACTACATTTACATTATAAAGCAGAACCTGTAAAAAGTGGGAGACCTAACCAGAGACAAAAGACAATTAATGCATGAGGGTCCTGCCAAAGGTGCTATAGGTGACAAGCATAGTAATGTCAAGAAAACCAAAGGGGAGAAGGGGATGCAAGTGTGCCTGTCAAAACCCAAGTAGAGATGATGCCTGTGGGATCCCCACTCCAACACCTATGACCACCTGCTGATCCCTCAAGAAGGACTTCCTGAATGCCTGGATGTAAGGAGACACTGTCCTCAGGATTATATAAGACTTATGCATGGCTTTCTCTTGTTTTTTTGGTTTATTATGTTCCATTTTAAGTTAGACTAAGCTATGTGTGCTCTCATTGTGTTTTACTGGGCTGTATCTTAGCTTAGGTGAACATTTTTGGTTGTTTTTTGTTGTGTGCTTGAGGTTGCAAATTGCTGTGTTCAATACATGCTTGCTTCAGAGAAAGGACTATTCTTGTTCAAGCTTTTATGAATTCAGCGCTAGTACCTTTTCCCCCCAACCACCCAGTCCTCAGCCTAGCAGGGACTGCCCTCCCCTCCCCAAGTGGGGTGGGGACAGAAGCCTGGCAGGCAGTGCCTGCCCGCCCAAGCAGACCTGGGCTGGGATCCCGTGTGGGCCAGGGAGGGGCTTTAAACCCCCACCCTCCAGTGTGCTAACCCCGGGCTGGGGCCTGGCTACTCCCTCTCTGCTCAAACAGGGAGTGGGGAAAAGCCTTGGAGCTTCAGTCCCTTCCCTTTGGCAGTGGCTGGCAGGCTGGGAGACATGCTCTAGTGCAGTGGTCTCCAAACTTTTTTGATCACACACCCCCATCAGTAAAAAATTTTTGAGCACACATCCCCAATATATGTATATTTATTTATTTATAAATTATATACATGTACTACTCAGTGTAACACTGTACAAAGTTTGGAGACCACTGTACACTGTACTACTGTATTTCCACATTGTGGAACTTCCTCTCTTCCCTCAGGATACCTCGCGTACCGTACATGACACATGACCGTCTGACATATGGACCGAGTGAGGGCACCAGTGTCAATCCATATATTAAATATGAGTAAATCTTAATTTCTTTCTTATTTTTTTAGATAAAAAATAAATATAAATAGAAGTTCTAATATTTTCTTCCTGCACCCCAATGGATTGTCTTGCATACCCCCTGGGGTGTGTGCACCCCACTTTGGAGACCACTGCTCTAGTGCCCCTGGCTTCTGGCCTGAGCCACTGCAGGCTTGTGGCTGCATTTCCCGAATCAAAAGTGAATGTCTGTTCACTTGATTCTCAGTTTAATCTCTGTAGTTTAGACTAACCTGCAAAGACTGAATAAATTCAGCCTTGGGCTTTTTGACTGTCTGTACTTAGCCATATGGATGAGAATCAG